ATCCAAACCACAAGAGTTTGTATGGTATGAGTGTTTTTGTGGAATGGCCGTCTGATGCCCATCAAACACCTGTTCACTGGAAATATAACTTCATATTCAGCCATTATATACTAATCAGAAACAGCTTGTGTTTGCCATTGACCAAGCTTTCCAAGCACTAATATCATCCTAACTGTTTACTACAACTCCCAAGCATCATCCAGGCTTCCTAAAATATAAAGCATCCAATCAGGGATCCAGGAAAGTGTGTGCCTGAGAGAAAAGTGGATGAGTGCACAATAGTGTTCAAATACAGGTCGAAATAATTAATGCAGAGAAAGGAATGGAACTAGTAAAGGTTGGTGGATGTTAAGGTCAACAACTTCTCTTCTGAAACAAATGTGGTAGCCGAATTATTTCTCTGCTCCAAAGGAACATGGTCCTTTCTTCCGACTTTTAATATCAGAAATGCCTATCCAATCCTTTTGATGCTTTGCTATGATGTTTTAAGTTCAATAGTGAAAAATCTGTTGGAGGAAATCAAACATATGGGGGAAGAAACACAATAGCGATAGGGCAAAACAGTACCACGTGTATATCTTAATGCCTAGTACCACAACACCACAGTGGTATGCAATTCTTAGCTATACGATCGGATAATAAATTCTCAAACATTTGGCAGTTTATGGAAGAGAAATATTCACAACATGAGCTACATAAACTCATTCTCTAAATGAGAATATTTTAAAAGATATTGACTACAGATGTTTCAAAGTAGAATTTAGGGTCTCACTGGGTGTCCCCAACTGGTGATCACTCTATTGTAAGCTTAAGTATTTAGTGAGGTTGTTCAGATTCCTGTTTTCCCTTCTCAACTTTTCTCCCAGCAAGCAGTCATTGTTACATTTCAACACTTCTTTGCACCAAGCACCTAATGTACAATGGAGCAGCTGCAATTTCACTGCCCAGCCCTTTTTTCCATCCTTACAACATTTGTTCTGTTAATGTAGGTTAATTCTGCAAATAACACTTCTGTAAATTGTTCTTGCAAACTGCTACATCATTTATGTAAGGACTTCTGTGAACTTTGAAAAATTAATGCCTTTAATTTTGGTTGATGGCAACATCAGCAGAGCTCTGTAAATTGCACTTTAATGAGATTTTGCTACAGGGGATAATCTGCTACTGACAGAGGAACATCTTGAAAACATCTGTAGACCTATAATTTCTCTATGACGATTAGATCCCACCACAAGACTCCAAATACAAACCCAAAATAAAGGAGGAAATTGTAAAGTTCTAAATGAGAACACAACCTGTTCTTTAAAGCAAGAGTCCCACTATGGAAAGCATCACGCACTGAAAATAAATCAATTTTTTCAGACTAATTAACATTTAGCTTTATTTAATTAAGAAAGACTATTACTGTCTCCACTGCTGTGCATCTGTATATAATGAAGGAAACAGCAGTAGGTATAAGATACCACTGAGGGATATGCCCAAGTAACCCAGCACTATAGGTACATAGGAAGGCCTATTATTGTTCAGTAACTGACATCAGAGTCTCACTTTAATGTTGTCATAAATAAAAGGAAGATTTCACAGACGCCTTCACATATGGTTTCTTATTTGTCTCTGATGGAGACTGGAAGTTGGATTAGATTCCAAAATTAAATGATTTAAATAGACAGCTGCATAATGGAAACTACTAAATAACACCTTTTAAACAGTTTCTATTTATAGCAGGCTGAAACCACAGAAGGATGACAAATCTTGTTTTGCTAAAGCTAATGTTGCAGCTGCGCTAAGGCCATTTCTTCCAAAGCCTGTAGTTAGGTTACCCCAGCTTCCCTCTGTTCCTGTTGGTGAATGGAACACCTTGCCAAGGGCACATCTGAAATCATCTGTTGTTTCTAAGTTAAGCCCTGTACTTGCCAAGCAATTAGCTTTAAGATTACCATACCCATGACCTTGCACATATTGAAATTAGCAGACAGTAACATCAAATGTTATGTTATCTTCTTTCATGCAATATAATTAATAGCTACATGTTAGGATACTGACTTTCAGATCATAATTTCTGCATATAATACTTCCATGTTTACCATCCTTCCCAGGAGAAAAATTAAGTAAAGCCTGACAAATTAAATGAGTGTATTATAAGATACAATAAAACTGTTGTTTCTTGGAATTTTGGTGTGTGTGTGTGTGTGTGTCCTATATGTGTGTGGTGTGTGTTTGTGTGTGTGTATCAACAGGTTTGTTCAGTTTAATTTGTCATATACAGACATAAATCATGCATATTCTAAGGCATAGTAATAAATAAGAACAATTTAACCATTGCTTAAAACTAGATCATAGCATCTTTATTGTGTAATGTGTAAGCAAAGCTTCACTAGTAGAGTCTTTTATTTTTAAATTTCTATGAATTCATTGAATTTTACGTGTATGAGTGCTGCCTGCATGAATGTCTGTGTACCATGTGGGTATCTGGTACTGTTGAAGATCAGATTCCCTGAAACTGGAGTTATGGAAAGTTGTAACCTTCTATGTAGGTGCTAGGAACTAAATGAAGGTCCTCTGCAAGATCATTCTTAACCACTGAACCATCCCTCCAGTGCTATATTTTAAAATGTTTAAATATGACTGTCAGATCCAGATACTTTCAAGTACCCATTATGATTCATGATTACTCTACTCTCAAGAATAATCTGAGATCAAGAAAGAATGGTTTCTTGAACCATTTATATGGTTGCATCTGGAAGGGACTAGGATGGTACCAATAAGGTTCCTAAAAGGATAAAATGTGACAGCCAATAGGGATATACATCTGACAAAATATAACCAATAGCGATGAGTGAGGCTTCATGCACTGCGAGAGAAGCATAATTGCCCATACCCTAATGCCTATACCTAATATGCCCAAAAATCTAATGTTGTGTATTACAACTACAGGGTCAGCTTCATAGGTCAGCTTCACTTTAACCTTGAACATAGGGTCTTCATCATTTCCCCTTGTCCTTCTTATCTTCTTCTTCCTCCTCATCTTCCTCTCTCCTCATATCTTATCTCCCTCTCTCCTCATCCTCTGAAGTTGCACACTAGTCTTTCTGATATCATTCATCATAGCCCCATACCTAACTTTACTCTTGAATATACATAAGGATTTTTGTGCATTCCAAAGTAGTTCATTTCTTTCCAAGAGGAAGATAAGCATTTCAAAAGGAATATGGGTATTTGGTACACTGAGTATCCCTTATAAATGATACATGACAAGTCTATAATGAAGACAGTTAGAGGAATGGTTAAAATAATGTAGATAATTAGGGTATACCTCTTAAGTGTTTCTAGGTATTCTATTCCTTAAAAGATATCCTACAATAATGAATTTGCTAGCTTGTCAAAATGTATTTTTTGAAGATGAAAACCAAGATGCTTTGCATTCATGATCTAATGTCACTGCAATGTGTTCAATACTTATTACTAAGAAATTACCATCTTACAAACCTCATCCTGGAAAGCAAGTGAGTAAGGATAGTTGATGTATACTGATCATTGCAGCTGACTCATGGATTTTCTCACTATTTCTCTTTGTAGCAGCCTTGCCTTACTTGCCACAACTACCAAGTTTCATTTCTTGTCCAACTTTGGGAAAGTAATCCTACTTTTAGTCAAGAGGAATTTAAAGGGGTCTAGCCAGTTCTCATAGCCCAGAATCCTGTGTTAATGAAGTATACCACAAATTCTAAAAAACGGTTGTTCAAATGTTATCTTAGCCTCTTCAGAGAATTGTGACTTTCTGAAAATGAATTATCTCAAATCTCTATTTCCTTAACTGAAAAACGATTCAAATTCTAACTGTCCCTTGGATGTTAAGATTATTATATATGCAATAAGACTCTTATTTGTTGAAGGATATCAATACATATGAATTTATTGAGTTCCCTCGCCTCTCACCTCTGATCCGCCATTGTCTTGACAGACACAAATACTTTTCAGGACCATGGAGAGATCTCACAATTCATTCACCCACAAACCAACACTTTTGCTATAGTTAGTATGCCTGGAGTTAGTTCTTGGGTTATGTATATGTAGTATATTAAATTATGAAAAACTAGTATTCAATAAAATAGAAAAGCCTCAAAAGTTGTGAGATTTTTAGTCTAGTGAAATAGAGACTAAATAAATCATCTTACTCTTCTCCCTCCTTCTCTTTCTCTCTCCCTCCTCTCTCTTCCTCCCCCCACCCCCCGAAACACCTTAGTGGGAAAAATAAGCAAAAGTACAAAATTGAAGAAAAGGAATCTTTATCTAATCTTAGGGGTTTAGTAAAGGGATCATCCTGGAAAGATGCTCCCAAGAGGAATTTTTCTGCGATTCATTGCAAAGACAGATAATTGACTGGAGGGTAATAGAAGAGTCCTGCAGGAAACAATAGCATCTGAAAAAATGTACAAGAGGCCAGTGCAGTCCTTATGGGTAAAAGTTCAGCATGGGGTGCAAGGAATGGTTCTGAAGATAAAGAGGCCTTACAGACAAAGCAAGCAACATACATAAAGACAGAAACTCATAGATATGGCCCACTGATGGTTTAGAGCCAATCTCTGGTTTCACTTGTATTAATTATAATATATAATTTTCTAACTATTGTAAGATCTGGTTATACCAAGACTGTATACCTACCACCATAAACTTTACAGGCAAATGAGACATGGGGTTTGAAGTGCACTACAATTCCCACTGGTCAAATTCACACACATGTATTTTCTGCTCAGCCCTTCTACGTCTGCAATTCCAGATTTGGGCTTGTTGGCTTATACCTTATAATTTGACTCTCATTCAAGAATAAGACATTTGGAGGAATAATTTAGATCATTTAGATGATTAGGGAACACTTCTTGCACATTTCAAGATGAACTTCACAAAACTTAAAATGATAAAGCAAGCACTTTTTCTGGGGTTAGACAATTACAAAAGCAAAATGTGCCTTTAAAATATGAAAAGTAATAGTTTTCACTTACTATTTTCTGTCTCGGTGCAGCAAGTGAGGCACTGCATCATTTCCCAAGAGCTGGATTCTGTGGAACATTTGGATGTGTTACTGTCATATATCCTAGTGCATGGTGAAATAAATGCCCTGCGCTTGTTCTGAGAGGTTCTTGTTATGTTCATTTGTTCTCCCTGATGTTTTCTTTGGCCCTACTATCCAGACCAACCAAAGCCTTATTATTTACTAGTGGTCCAGAAATATCCCATTCTAGTCAATAGACACAATATCTACCAATCTTCTTTATCATCTTTCTAAAATTCACTTCTCAAATTATATCAGATAAGTCAATTTTAATCATTCTTAAAATAATAGCTGAGGAAATAGTTAGGATGATTTTGTAATAAATACTCAGTAATTTGAACTCAACTCTCAGATCTTTCAATTAATTTTTATGATATTTTACTTCTAAAAAGATAGAAGTATCTAAAATAGAGAATATTTAAATGCAAAGATGAAAGATTAGATTTCCAAAGGAGATCATAAGATGCAACTTAGCATCCTTTACCTTTTATATCCTTATCTGGAATAATTTTCATTGAGAATACTCAGAATGGAGAATACAATGGACCCCACAAGATCAAAGATTATCAGTCACATTCATTGCTTTCTGTCACACAAAGGAAGGCAAGATTTTGCCCTAGAAGCTTAACATGTATAACAATGGCATGTTTTATAGATAGATAGATAGATAGATAGATAGATAGATAGATAGATAGATAGATAGACTCACAGGGTTTGCCATTAAAATTAACTATAAATATTCCTTGTATGGATATGCTAACACTTCTTTAGAACTAGATATTGTATCAGTCATTGAATAGTTTCCATTAATGACATCAATAACAAGGAATACCACACACACACACACACACACACACACACACACACAGCATTTATTAAGGAAGTGGTGTCTAGAGAATTTCTTCTACAGCTTGTTTGAAAATGCTCTTCTCTGGCAGAAACAGTGGGCTCCTGAGATGTTGGCCCTTGTGTTATGCTGGTTAGCATTCCAACCCCAACAGTCTCTCTTCTTTACAGTGCTAATTTCCCCTTGCCAATAGCATCCTAAGAGACACCCAAACCACCCTGCTTTCTTTCCCTGGCCACTGTGATTAAAATTTGTAGCATTGTTGTCTTTATCAGTTTGCTCAGCAATCCTGAGCTAACTGCATTTCAGAATTCTGCTGACATTTGTCTCTTACTACAAAATGCTTTAGGGAAAAAAATTATCCCAAATGGCATAACGGACGTTTTAGTCACTAAATTTCTTGGGAATTTAAATTAAAATAAAAATGATATGCTTTGTACATGGATTTTCTTGTACTTAAGCCTTTAATGCCAGCTAAATAAAAAGGAGGCCATTAATGTAAAATTCAGCCTAAAGTCAATTGTATTACAAGCACTCTTAATGCTTGTACATTCTTAATGTAACAAGAAGTCTGAAAGCCACTTAACTGGATACAGCTGTATGCAAATTGGCTTTGAACTACTGAAGGTTACAAAGAGACGTTATTTTAATCTTGAAAAATAAACCACTGAGTGTCTAGCATTTGGGTCTGTTAAACTCATCTACTAATGATTCCCCCATTAAACTATAATAAAGTGTTTGAAAGTTGATCCAGTGCTTGGCACATGGTAAACAGAGAAACTGGAACTATAGCACTGTGCCAAAACCAGCAAGAGGGTTCTCCTGCGCTCATTCTCACACAGCTGTCACTCTCCCCTGCTGTATTATAGATTTGGAGATAATTAAACAAGAATATGTGACATTTATCTAAAACTCACAAATTTACCTTCTGGGGATGTAGTACAATGCACAGTCTGATTTAAATAGCTAGTCTCTAGTCAAAGACAAGTTTGGATTTTTACAAATGAAAGAATAAAATATTCTCAAATGTAAATGTGGTTGACATACAAAAGATTTGCCTCTTTGATGATCAGTTGTGGTCCATAAGTAAAAATAAAACTACATTATTTATCATTTCTGAAAATTCTGCATTCTTGGATCTGTAGTTCTTGAGTAGAAAGCTAAGCCCTATATACATCTACAAATAGTTTATTAAATCATGAGTTAAATAGATGGTTTTCTAAAATAAACTCAACAAAATCTCATTGTAGAATAGTAAATAAGGATTTCATAAGATGTAGGGCAAGCATGTTTACTGTCCTCAAACAAAGTAATTGGAATGCCTTCAATATTTTTATAATGCTACAAAATTAAAATGCATAATATATTTGGTGTCCTTTTTAAAAATCAAGGGTATATTTTTGATTACAAAAGTCAAATAAGTCACATTTAAAATGAGACTTTGCCTATACTGTATCGGTATGGTTACCATCATTATTATTATAATCACTTAAACATCTGAAACTATAAAGATTTAAAATAATTACTTATCATATCTGTTTGGTTTTCTTGATAAGTGAAAATGAGATTAGGTTACTCATCGTTTATAGTCTATTCCTACAAAAAAGCAGGAATGAAAGAAAAATAAATAAAAGAAGGAAAGAAAAGAAAGGGGGAAAGAAGGTAAATGGAGAAAATGAAACAAAATAAAGGAGAATACTCATTTATTTCACAAACGTTTAATTATACCCTACTATATTTCCATGTCTCATATAAAATTGAAGAAATATACAATGAGAAAAAGGCAAGTACAATTCCTCTTTTGTGGGATTTATATTGGAAGTTGGGCAATAACTACATAATGATACATAAGGATTCCAAATTTAAGATTGTAAATATAAACTAAGGATTGTCTATGGCCAGTGATAGAGGACTTGCTGGTAGAGTGCTTTCCCAGCTTGTCCTGGATTTGATTAGCAGCATCAGCAAGGCAGAAAGGGAAACAGGGACTGGGAGGGATGGAAAAGGAAAAGAGAAGGGAAAGAATTTTCTACTAAAATGTAAATGAAGTTTACATAAAGTGTCCTGAAGCAGTGAAAATGTTTATAGATTATCTGGAAATGTTTTTAAGGAGGTTTTCCTGTTACAAATAGAAGATAGATAGATGATAGATAGAAAGATAGGTAGGAAGAAAGATAGATAGGAAGAAAGAAAGAAAGAAAGAAAGAAAGAAAGAAAGAAAGATAGATAGATAGATAGATAGATAGATAGATAGATAGATAGATAGATAGATAATGTGTAAAGACCTTGTTGTGAGGTGGTGAAGACACTAAAATAATGTTCTTGTACTAAGTGGAATTAATTGCTCAATGATACTAAATCAAAGCTCAGCCACATAGACCTCCTAGGTTCCCCTCAAAGTCTTGACTTTAATCAAGGCACTAGGAGCATAATGGTGACATTGTAAACAGGAATTTGATATTACTAGTTCTGCATTCCAGAGTGTATGTGTAACCATAGTTAGAAAAGCAGGTTAGGAAAGCATGAAAGTGAGATTTGGTCAGTTACTACACTTTGTTGGAGTGGAAATAAAAGATAGTTTGAGCTAGTTTGCTAGTAGTAAGAGGTACAAATAGATATGCATTGGAAAAAATACATCAGAAGTAATATTTAGAAATGAATAGAACAGTATAAAGATGGTATAATTAATGGAATATTATAAGGATGTACTCTACCGCTGAGTACATGCCTGGCACAAACAAGGCCATGATTGTAATACCCACTCCTGAAAAAGAGAAAGAGGGAGTGGGGAGGCTAAAGAAAAATTATATGAAGAGGTCACAGAAGTCAGGTGTCTATCATATGTAAGTAGATAAATGATGGCACTCCTCACTGAGTGACAAAACCAGAAACAACATGGCAGAACAAAAGATACGTTTGCTGTGTTGGAGACATAATGAATCTGATCTATCTTTGAAATATTCTTTAAAATGTCAATCCAACAGTAATCATCTAGTCTTGATTCATACTTATATTTGTTAAAATTTTCTGAGGTCTAAATCCATTAACTTCTCTCTATTTCATGTACTTCTAGGCTCATTTGAAAGCATTCATTGATAATAAAATACATATTGTCTCTGAACAAACGCCTCAAAATTTGGCTTCTATAAGGTCAATTTTTCAATATGAATTTTTTCTCAATTACCTTTGTTTATGTTAGAAAGTATAGAAAAACAGTATAAAATGGAAGAAACAATTAGTGGCAGAGTGTTCACCTAGAATGCACAAGATCCTGTATTCAATGTCTCCCAAATAAGAAAACTAAAATCTGAGGGGGGGGGCAGATCAAAGCAAAATTTGTCTCATTGTTTGTTTGCTTTGAGACAGGGTATTCCTTGAAACTCCAAGTTGGTTTGGAATTCACTTTGTAGCCTAGACTGGTGTTAAATTTGTGCACTTTCTACCTCAATATCCTGAAGGCTGGGATTACAGGTGTACACCACCACGTCAAGAACTTGTGGACACATAGTCATGTGAAATAGTAGTCGGGAGATGGTGGAGTAAACCTTTAATTACAGCACTCAAAAGAAGAGGCAGTGAATTTCTGAGTTTGATGCCAGACTGAACTACAGAGAGAGTTCCTGGATAGTCAGGAATAGAACTACACAGAGAAACTCTGTCTGAAAAAAAAGGAAGGAGGAAGGAATGGAAGAAGGAAGGAAGGAAGGAAGGAAGGAAGGAAGGAAAAAAGAAAGGAAAAGAAATGAAACACAGAAACTAGTACAGATGATTCTGCCTCTTGGACCAAATTAGTCACTACCTCAAAAAATGTATTGAATGCCCAGGTCCTAAGACAGTAAGACACCCTCCATCCTTCACGTAGCTTATGATGTATTGAGAGTAGGTTCTAAGTTCAACAAACCACAGAGAAACATAGGCAACAGACAACAGGTAGATTTAAAACAAGTCTCACAAATCTGAGAAAAACAAGATCTAAAGAATAAATTGACATTTCATAAGCAAAGAACTCATGTGGAGATACTGCAAGCACAGCTTACAGTGTATTTCTAGGCCCTGAAGTGAAGAGGGTATGGCAAGTTGAAGAAATGCAATGTCTTCCAGAACTTCTCTCTCTCTCTCTCTCTCTCTCTCTCTCTCTCTCTCTCTCTCTCTCTCTCCCTCTCTCTCCTTCTTAGAAGGAGTCAGAGAGACAGGGAGAGGGAGGCAGAAACAGAGTTTTGCCTGGGATGCTTAGAAACCATACTTTTTGCCATATTTTCTTTGTAGTCAGAAACTACCTTTTGCTTGATATTAGCTTTTAAAAAACAGGTAGCTTAATTCAGACTTACTTATTTATGTCCTGTGAGACCTACATAAGCATAATTTCACTTTGGAGGGAAGTGTAGTTCCTCTCTAGCTTCACTTCTGAACATTTACTACAAGACCAATGAAAATTTGTTGTAAAAAAGAAAAAGATGAATGAAGAAACCGGTTAGTATCTAGATAACTCTACAGAGGATGATTATTTGTTGCTCAACAGAACCAGAGGATGCACAGTGGCTCCAAGATGGACATGTTCTCACAAGTGGAGCTGCAGAACAAACGTGTCATGAAAGAGGGAGATGGAAGAAAATACATCTGCTAGAGGAGACCACAAGGTGTGGCAAAAAAAGACAGTAAGAATTCTGTGTTTATTCACAATTCAAGTAATATACTACACATGGTTTGTAATGCCCCGGTGGATAAAGAGAAAACAAGCTAAATCTTTCGGATTTTGTGCATCTACTTGGCTAGCTGATTTTGTCCTACCTTGCCTAACATGTCTCCTACTGTGTTTCTAGTCATGATGGAGTTAACAGGCTGTCTCCGATTTTAACACTTCATTTCACTTTCTTTTGGTGCTGGGAATGGGATCCATGGGCTGAAACATGTAAATATGTGCTTTACCCCAATCTATATACCACAAACCTTCCTTCTCTTTTGTATTAATTATTGCCTTGCCTTATATTCACACAATTAGATGATGGCTGTCTGAGACTTTAAAATGCATATTTCAACATTTCTCACATCCATTAACACAAAGCTACATGCCTGGAGGGCATTAGATAAGTGCCTTATTGTCCTTAGTTAGATGTTATTACATATACATGACAAGCTACATGCCTATGTGTGTAAATTGCGGGTAGTTTACTATAATAGAAATCTATCTATATGTCTATCTATTCCCTTGAGAATGAGAAATTTCTAATTTTCTGATTATATTTGAATACATTTAAACGATTAAACTTTCTGGAATTTTGTTAACCAGTTGTGAAACAGAATCACCTTTTTAAAAATTAAGTTAAGTATATTTTAAATTATCTGGGTAAATTATCTTAAGTATATGATAAGTCATTTTTATTATGTTTGTTTATTTGACTGTGTATGCATGAGTACATGTGGGCATTAATATGCCATAGACTATTTGGAGATCAGAGGACAATTTTTAATGATTGATTCTCTCTTTCTACCATGTTAGTCCAAGAGATTAAAGTCAAGTCCCAGGCTTGGAAGTAAGTTCTTTCACCTATATGCCACCTCACCAGCACCAGTGACAAGTCTTGAAACTCTTTTTCATTTGTTGTTGATGATATTGTTGGTGTTTGGATTTTTTCATAGGTGTTTGTTTTGTTTCCTTTTTGTTGGCTTTTATCATTAGGCAGGGACTTATGTGGTCAGTTCTGGCCTGCAACTCACTGTGTAGGCAATGATGACATTGAGCTCCTGATATTCTCAGCTCCATCTCCTTAGTGCTTGAGTTACAGGCATGTATCACCTCATCTGGCTCAACTCTTCATTTTTAATTCATCATACTGTATTATTGTCTAACCATCAGGCTACTTGTACCTATCATATCACTGAGCAGAAATATTACATGACATTGTGCTAATCCAAACTGTACTCGACGCAGCTCTAAGATTATCCTGAAGCTTTAAATTGCTCATATTAGTAGTATCTGTAACAAAAAATTTGAAAAATGTGACAAATAAAGCTTACTATTTAAATGGAGATATAATAGAGGGAGACACTTTTGGTTTACAGAGAAATCAGGCACTAGGGAAATGTCTGGAGATCTACAAAGATGACAACAGCTAACTATCTCAGCAACGGAGGAGGCTACCTCAAATGCCTTCCCCTGATTATGAGATTGATGACAGATTTATATGCCCTTATCCAGCAGCTGGTGGAAGTAGAAGCAGACACCCATAACTAATCACTGATCTGAACTGGAACCCAGATTCAGATAGCTGGAATACCAGCATGGAACTGACTCAGACCCAAGGAACATGGGTTTCTGTGAGGAAACCTCAGAAATCTACGGGACTTCCTGTAGAAGCCCAGTATTTATCCCTAGCATAGGTGTGGGCTTTGGGAACACAGGCAATATAAAGGAATACTCCCTGAGCCAAGACACATGGGGGTGGGCCTAGGCCCTACCCCAAAGGAAACGAAAGACTCTGATGACACCCTATGGAAGGCTCACAATCCGGGGGAGTAGAGAAGATATGTGACAGATAAGGTTTTAGTGGGGTGGGGGGGTAGGGGAGGATGGGTGGAAGAAGGGAAATGGGATTGTCATGTAAAACAATTCTGTTCCTAATTCAAATAAAAAAAGTTGGGGAAAAACGTGAGAAATTACCAATAAGGAGCCAAGTAGAAATATAAGGGTATTTAATAGGGAAAAGCCTTACTTACAGAGTGACCTAGCCAGCCTGCATGGCAGCAGTCTGTACCGCAAGCCGAAAAGGGAACTGAAAGTGAAACCCAGCCACCTGAACCTCTCAGTCTACTTCACCCTGACCACGCCCTCGCAGGCATGGTCAGGCACACCTTTAGCCAGCCCCTAAGTAGGCATGGCTATAGCTTCCCCTACAACTATTTTGTTGATTTGATTGCTTTTATCAATAAAGTTAACCATAAAAGTGTGTATAACAATATAGCCATTGCACTGTGAGTAACATAAAACTGAAAACATATCCTTTCAACTTTGTATTGTCTTACTAAGTAAAGACATTATATCATTGGCTAACAGATGAGTTTCATCATGTGTCTTCATTGGTTTATTCTCAAATTATCATAAACAACAAAAATATCAAATAAACTTTACATTGAAATGTACCCATTCATCTGTTGCAATCATAATTTGGCTCCAAGTAAGTGTTCAACAACACTTGGAGGAAGCATTATGTGCAATTAGTTGGGTATATAGAATTTTAAAACATTTTCAATTATTTATTTATTTATTTTGGAGGTATACATGCTATACACATATGTGGAGTTCGGAGGACATACTGCATATTTTATTATTCTGCAATTATTCACCCTTTATATTTTATGTCTTTTTTAAACATAAATTTTTATTTAAATTAAAAACTATCTTATTTAACATACCAACCCCAGCTCTCTCTCTCCCTTCCATCCTCCCATGCCCCCCAAAAACCCCCATCACAACCCTCATCCACTCCTTAGGGAGGGTGAGGCCTTCCATGGGGAAATCATCAAAGTCTGTCACATCATTTGGGGCAGGACCTAGACCCTCCCCCATATATATAGGCTGATAGAGTATCCCTCCATAAGGAATGGGCTCCTAAAGCTCATTTGTGCACTAGGGATAATTACTGGTTCCACAGACAGAGGCCCCATAGACTGCCCAGGACTCCCAACTGTATTGTATGTCTTATCATAAGCAAAGGGTTGAAAGTTTGCTATGACAAAGGGAAGTTGCTTATAATGCAAGCTCCACAGCCCTCATCTCTCAGCTCTGCATCTATGATGCAGCCAAGCAATCTCCTTATTGAATAAACTGTTCTTATGTAACAGAAGCTACGATTTGACTTTAGAAGGAAAAATTAAACAAAATAAAATACAACATTCTGAGCAAAAGAGTTCTAGGTGTCAGTAGATGTCAATTTCTATCCAAAGCATAGAAATCTCATAGTAACTAAAATTAGATTTCCCTTGTCAGGACCTTGACTATGATAAATCCTTAAACTAAGTTGTCATTTTGAAGTTTTTTAAAAACAGCTTCACATAGAGAGACCCTGTCTCAAAACAAAACCAATGAATAAATAAATAAATAAATAACTTTATAGATGAAAGGTAAAATACTCTACTCCTGAAAAGGTGACTATCTGCACTTAATTATTTCATCGTGGTTGTTACACAAAGAAAATCTATTGTATGAATCAAAACTGGTCTCTTCAAAAACTATTAATTTCCTATATTGCTACTGAAGTCAAATCAATATATGAAATAAGAAAACATTTCAGAATTATCGCTGAAGTACAGGTGTTAATTGCGGTTTCATCCTATATAATTCATCCCACTGAAAACTATCTTCAACTATAAAATGAAAATCTGTCTAAAGGAATGTGTTCACTAAAATGTCCTCTGGTTGTAATATCAACTTAGTTATTTAAAATATAATTTGTACAGTTGTAATTTAAAAACTCTGCCCTCATAATTATAGCTTTAAATTTTTATCACTATTTCTACTTAGTAATAGACAAACACTTTGAAACTCTTCTATTTTGGTTATGTGATATGTAGCACATGACAACGCATACATGTCATCTTCATCTGGGCTATGTGTACATGTTTGTCCCTCGAGGATGGAAGTAGGCATGAAGATGGTGAGTCCTGAACTGCCCTGCAGTACATAGAAGACTTGCTCTCATAAAAACTTAATTAATTAGCTAAACTAATTAAAATAAAATAAATAAGTGACTTCCTCCATAGAGATGTGTTATTAAAATATTCTTTTAGACCAGCAATTAGTTAATTCTAACAAAGAGATCAATATCTAACTTATTCTATTCAGTTCAACTAATTACCTTTATTGTTTACATATAATCCAGTGTTTCATTATCCAAATAGGGGAGTATCCAGAAAGACCTTCTGAAACTTCAAAAGACCATAGATAATATTCATACAGCTATCAGAATAGCTGATATAAGAGGTGTATAGTAACTCATTATTTGAGCAAACTTAAACCTTTTCCATCAGCCTCCAAAATTAAGCTAATACACTATGTTTCATACAGAATTACTCAGTAAGTATTGTACATATTGAGACACCCCAAGTATTTTCGGTGGGTTATGATACCAAGGCTATATGATTAGCAATAGTTATCTTTGAAAGACTATATCCCTAAAATTTGCAACATACTTGAAGGTTTGATATAAAAAAAAAACTTAATCAATAGACAAAAATGAATGCTTTCAGACAACATTAAGCATCCCATTTTCTAGATATCCTCACCTCTGGGATTCTATAGGAAGCTGAATATGATAAATCTTAGCATGGAAGGAACCCATGCACCTTCATCACTCTATCTGTCCTTAGTATCTAACTCAGAAGGAACCAGCTACAGTCACAGCAGGGCCTGTGAGATAAATTTCTATCCAAAGCATAGAAACCTCATAGTAACTAAAATTAGATTTCCCTTGTCAGGACCTCGACTATGATAAATCCTTAAACTAAGTTGTCATTTTGAAATTTTTTAAACTAAAATACCCAACTTATTTGCAACATGAGAATCAATTATAACCAAAGGAAAAAATCATTTGAAACTTTTTACTGAATATCTAAAAAGTTAAATAATAGTGCTTAGAAGGACACTTTCATTCATCCGTATTTTCTGTTTTTTATAAGTTGCTAATAACTTAATTGTAATATTCATATACTTCATATCATTAATTACCACACAATAAAAATAATGCCTCATCATCATTGCTTGAAAATTCTTAAGTAGTCAAATGCATAGAATGAGGGCTAAGTACTTCTAAGGAGGGTGTATATTTGGAGCTTTAAGTTACAAATATTGTGTAGGATACAGCAACTTGCATGGCAGGCCAGGACTCTGAGGCAGGAAGACTGCTTGAAACCAGAAAATTCAGACACCCTGGGCAACATAGTGATACCTTGCCTCAATAAATAAATACATAAATTGTAATAGACAGAAAATATTTCAGTCCAAGAAACTGATGGGTCACTTCCCCAATGTCATTTACTTCTTGAATGAATACAAAGGAAATTAGTAAATAATTTGCTAATATCAATACCTTTTCAGCTGCATTCTGTTTATTAGCAAGAGAAAAAGCCTTTTGTAAATTCAGACACACAGAAAGATTATCATTAATGATAATTTTTAAATATTTGAATGCATACTATCCAATACTTTATTTTGACCTGATAAGATGTAAGCTTTTTCCAACTTATTTTTATTTACTATTCAAGATGTATTATTAGAAATTTATTTAAAATATTTTTGGATCAAATGAAGATGTCGCCTCTTTTTCCTCTGCCAAGACTATGATTTACACACAGTTTAATATTCAGGTGTTTATTCTGTTCTACATAATGAAATTTGGACCCTCATATTTTCTTCCTACATGCTCGATGCAGGCTGCAATTATAGCCACAGATATCTGTTTATTTGATGAATTTTGCTTCTTCTGCATAGTTTGATAAATATGGAAATAAGTCAAAACCTACTTTATATACAGTAATTAAAGTGAAAAATCTAGTCATGATGCAAATCCTTAATTGGACTCCAGGAGAGATATGCAGAATTTCTCTTTAATAATATGGGATGACTGGGGACAGAAAAACAAAGCACACTAAAATATGGTTTAGAAGCACAATTAATCACAAAACAGAAAACAACCAATTTAGCATAGCTCATTCAGTGACTCTCATGGCTCAGGTAATGTTCTTTTAATCATCTGGCTCTAATATTAAGGTTGTGTCATGTGCATCTGAAATAAAATACAATATATATGCTGATCTTCCGTGTGAAACGTGTTCTTTGGTCTAATTTGTAAAGAGGGCTCTTCCATAATAAAATCCTTAGACTACTTAATGACGTGTAAGTGAATGATCAAAGCAGCACAAAAGGCTTTTACTGTTTTCTTTAGTATATTCATTCATTAGACAAAAAAAGTAAAGCCTTCGGAGCTCATGATAATTTGTTAGCTCTTGTGCAGTTTTGTTGAGTCCTAATAAACTAGAGACAACTAACCAAGAAATGTCTTAGGCTTATGACAATATAAAGCCTGGGATGATACAGATGTAGCTAGAAAATAAATTGGAAAGAAAAGAATGTAATGAAGACTACATTTGCTTCCAAATGCAATGCATGTGTTTCTCTAATCAACCAAATTAGTCATCACTGTCCCTTATTTTGATTGCAAAGATACTATTCTCTATATAGGTTTATAACCTATATATAATATAGGTTAATATATTAATATGATATAATAATATGATATAATAATATGAGTGGGCTTTATAGAAAAAATGGGATTTATCATGTTACTTGTTTCAATAATTGTTGTGTAGGCAAGTGTCCATCCCATGTTAAGAAAATTAAGAACTGCTTTAGAATTTGGAAATTATCCCTATCCTTAGTTGTCCTGAATTACCTAAGTGTACCCAAACTGCCTGTTTGTTTCCTGAGAAGAGCCAAAAAGAGGTTCATGGATCTATGCCTAACAGGCACTTGATGACATTATCACAAGGATCATTGTTCTGTTCCCCAGATGTGTCCAACAATTGAAATCATGACTGTG